GATACCACAATAATGATATTCGAACATTTTGTCGATTGTAACTAGCTACTTAATAGTTTTGATCCTTTGTTTTGAGGGGACGAATTTATTCAAATCAAACTAATTTCGACGTGACATTCTTCCAATGTATAAACATAAACACTTTCAAGTTGTTTTTCTTATCGAAGATAACTTAAGCACGTACAATAATGGAGTACATCGGGCAATTTGGTACTTTCATATTTTCTCGATATTTCATAATCTTTAGACAAGGCCGTAGTTTAGGGGAAGGCTAGGGGATGCTGAGCCGAAGTCAGAGCAATAAAAAAGTCTGGACCGTCGGCATTGTGATCAAAGGAAATCAAAAGGAAATCAAGAGGAAATCAATGAGAAATTAACGAGAAATCAACAAGAAAACGCGGCTTCTCAAAGCGATGCGTTTAAATTCTCGCCTATCTATTTCATCCGACGAAAATCATTTGAATAATTGGGAATGGTACCAAATGGGTTTCAGTGACAGCGATCTGACATTGTATGTCCAAGACACTGTACATATTATCACAAAGTTAAGAACAAAGTTTTTAAAATCAGACTCAATATTACCTCTATGGAATTACGTTGCTACAGTTGCTCACCTTAAAATATTAGTAAAAAATTACACCAAAGATCAACATATGCTAACAATAACGGATTTGAAAGCAGAAGACAAAATGAACTATGCAGCGGCAGAAAAAATGTGTAGCCCGGAAGTAAGAAAAATGATAGCCGACAACATTGACAATAGTGCAGGAACAACAGCTTATTTGAACCTAATTTATCTTATATCGGCAGCATTCCTGGACAAAACGTTATCTATTGTAGAAAGGATATATAACATTTGGTATTGCATATTTTTCCTACGAATATGGAAAAAATGGATTAAGGACCAAAGACAGTATACAGTAAAAGATAACTTTTTATTTTCCAATTGCTACACATGCGTTGAACTCAATGGACACGCATTAATAAAAATAATAAAAATTTTTCAAAAAAGTAATCTTACTGATGATATGTTCTTGCCTTGGAAGTTTAGCTCTCAAACTTGTGAGAATATGTTTAGAAGCCTTAGATCAATGACCTCAACTTTTAGCACAATTGTTAATTTTAGTATAAGAGATATGTTGCATTGAAGTGACAGACTGCAAACTATAAACAACATTAAAAACGATTTGGATAAAAAATTCGTTTTTCCTAGAGAAATCAGGAAAAAAAGTTCAATCATGAAGAGAGATTTTGTGAAAAATGATGACTTAGGAAACATTTCAGATAAAGATATACAAAGCACCGTAGAATCAGCTTTACGGGATTGTCTGCGTGACACTGAAAATTTAGGAATGAAAGTGATAGATTTCAACTATGTATTTTTGCCTCCATGTAAAGACAATGAATGCAATGACGAAGTTGAAGATGAAATGTTTAGTGAAGAACAGTGCGATCACATTGAAAATTACAACAATTCTCAAATAGCCATGAAATGTAACTGCTTTCAAAGTTTGGAAAACGATCCAGTTGACCAAGATGAAGATTTACTGAATGATCTTTGAACAATTTCGTACGAATCTAAGAAATTTGACAGAGACATACACCCTAGAAGTTTTGATAGTGACGATATTTTTGTTGAGAAAGGTGATCTAGTCAGAATACGCTTAGATAAGACAACAAAAGTTATAAAAAAGTCTTCACTTTGCTGGCTGTTAGACAATGAAAAGGATCGCGCCAGTGTGGATCGTTTCAAAAGATTTATTCAAAATAAGAAATGTAATAGTAGAAGAGTCAACTCAGAAACAGATACCTGCTTTCAACATAAAGATGCATCTCAAATTCAAAAACCAGTCCAAATTGGAAAACAAAAAAGACGCTATAACATATCAAGTGACTCATCTGATTTAGACAACCCAAGTAGTATCGAATATGATGACAGCACGGACATCGAAAGTTTGAATTCTTCCAATCATTCTGATGATTTGAATCCTCGTTTGAATCTCAAGGCTGAAAATAGTCAGACTGATCGTTCTAAACCAGACTTAAATATAGACGATTATATTATAGTACAATTAACAACTCAAAAACAAAACAAAAAATGTTACATTGGTAAAGTGTTATCACTTAACCCTATTTTTTGTGATTTTTTGAAAAGGAATCCAAAAATTCCGGATGCTTTTATGTTTCCGGACATTAAAGATCAGGGGGAGATCCAAGAAAATTAATATATAATGAAACTACCTCCACCTCAGGTACTCAGAAGAGGCAGTTTAGTTTTTGAAAAAAAATTACTGAAAAAATATTTGATTTAATTCTAGTTTTTTTTAAATGATGTGATTAAAATTTGTGATAATGTAACCTCAACCTGGGTCGATATTTGTACAAGTATATATCGTAGAGAATACTAAAGTAAAAAACTGTGCAAAATTCTAGGTGCCCATGAACACTTTTAAAGGGGAAAATTACCACTGAAAATTTATCAAGTGGTGTTATCCACTCCTTTATTGTGCAAAAAAAAATTCTTACGTGTTAAATTTTGCATTTCAAAAGTTTTTTTCTAATATTTTGTTATGATCCAACAGAAATGCTTTACTTTTATGTTTAGAGTTACCGTTTTTTTTAACATTTAATAAAATAAATGAAACTACTTGGTTTTTCTGTGTATGCTACCATAATAAATGAATAAACCCAATTTTTAAAAAGTAATGACTTAAATTATTATTCTAAGTTTGATTTAAATAGGTCAAACTTTAACATGATCTTGTATGCACAACACAGAGATGAACCTAATATGGACTATTTGGTATTCATTAATTACCTCTGTGAACGTATGAGCCAGTCGTTGTTGCCTTATGAGTATGAGTCACTGATAAGTAAAAACTGCTGACGTAACTAGAAATATCCTTGGCCTTATGTACTTTTAATTTCGTAAAGTCAAAAGCAAAATTTCATAATATAATTTATTAAATCTTTGAGTGATTTAAACGAACTAATTTGTACACACCAGACATCTAAAGCCTCGATTTCAGAGTAGCGTTCTTTTTGTAAGTAAAATCAGATTTTTTTTCTTAAACATGTCAGTTTGTTGCTTAGCAGCACAATACATTTTATTTATTTATTTTTTTCGTCTAAAGGGAAATCACTCCAGCTTACCTAGTCACCGTACGTTAGTAAACACTTGGTAAAAAAAAGGTTTAAATTCAACATCATTATCGGCAAAACAAAAAAGTCAAGTTAAAAAAAAGTTAACAATCGCCCTGTAGTACATTATGTAAACAAATTTTGAGGAAATCATAGAAAATCCAGAGGAAATCAAACGAAATCACAGGAAATCAGAGGAAATCAAAAGAAATCGGGGGAAATCAACAGGAAATCATTGTCAAAAGGAAATCAATTGTACACTTGATGATCGGCGGTTTACCCCTCGACGTAAACTCTTTTTTGTAGTAACTCATATTTACACATTATGACATAACATACTGCTATATTTATGTTTTAGAGTTTGCCTTGATTTTTATCGCAGGTACTTTACAAAAATTTGTATGGGCATAGCCAATATTTGGATTACGTACAGAAGTGAGAAAATTGGTCATTTCACGAGGATGAGAGTTTCCGGAACGAACCAAAGGCGAGTGGAGGAACTTATCGGAGTGGAATGACCAATTTCTCACGAGTTTAACACTATACTTTTTCTGCTCATATAATCAAGAAAATAAAGACAAAAAAAATCAAGAATTATTAATTTTTGAAAAAATGATGACATGTAAACAAAACATAGCCAAGGTAACGCATGGACGAGTTCAGTAATTTTTATTAGGGGTGATAGTGGGGACTTATGAGAAAAGGAAATGTCGCGTTCTGATTGTACAAAAGCTGTTTAGAAAAGTGATCATTCTTGAATAGATTGAAGAATGGTCAATTTTTACAATCCAAAATGCAGTAAAAACTCAATATTTTTCTGGTTTCAACTCGGAAAGCACAATGTTTTGGATATGCAGGATGAAAAAATGTATTAAAACTGTTATATGAAACAAAAACTTAGATTATTTGATGGATTTATGTGTAACTAGTGCTCAATATACTTAGTACTTTAGTAGATGGGGCTCATTTGAGAGAGGCTAAGTTTTTATTATGTAATTTTTTTGAGTGAAGTTAACCTAGGTGACCCAAGTAACATATGGAGTTACAGTAATATCTAATTACTTATCAGTGAATCTATAACTAAATGGAATGAAATAAACATACACATCCATACACACATTTTTTTTTGTCTTTAAATAATAAAAGCAGTGAGATAGATATAATTCATTATACGAGTATTGATTTACTAATGGTAATTGTATTTCCTCATTGTGTAGTTTATTGGTTTTCTGTTTCTGTTTGTCTTATGTTAGCATTTTTAACCAATCTATATGACTGTTTTGAAACTATTATTTAGCTGTACAAAGTTAATAAAAATGTGTCTATTCATCCTCTCGAAAAAATGCTGATGTTATCACAAAATATTGTTTAGAAAACTGCAGCGTAACTTGACCTGTGCTTTTTAAGACACATGTATATATTAACCCTAAATTCATTGCCTTTCCCTCCAGAAAGTTGATGACATCATGTCAAAAAATTGTTAAATAATGTGCTTTTATTTTGCAATTGTCGATGCTTTTAGTGCGATGTAAGCGGATAATGCAAATGTTTGTTTATAAGTTACTTTTTTGGAACTACGAATACATATATGTATAGACTTTGTTTATGGAACAAAAACGACCTGGTTTGTACAGACTTAATCTTATGATAAATGGTTTCCTATGCTCAAAGTGATAAATATCTGGACAGAGGAATCACGGTTTTTAGTCATCGGGCTCAGGTGTTTAAGTAACGTAAATACAAATTAATTACATAACAAAAAAAGTGAATCATTTTAGATAATTTAAATGATAATTTAGTGAGTCAGCCTTCATTCCAGATGTCCCCCAAGAGAAGGAAAAAATGATAAGAAGTCGTAAAATAATCCCGATACAATTTATATAAATCAATCGGCGCTTTGTTATCAAACAGAACAAAATAACTGCAATCTAGAGATAATCTACCGAAACACCTGAATCGCAAAAACATAAAACACCAGGTATGTATTCAACTTAATCACAGTTTAAATGTAAACATCCAACCTCCGAATATCTGTTTCAGAGGCCGTTACCACTAATCAATGAGAGCATTTACGGAATCATAAAATATTAAAGAAGCAGCAGCTTTCCCACATCAATAATAAACAAAACCTTCTCTTCATAAATAAAAACTTCGACATTTCGACATAATTCCAATCGATACATCGAGCAACAGGCTAATTTTCCATCACAGTCGCCACTTCACTCCACAATAACGTACGAAAACCTTATCTTATCTCAGAAAATTGTGATAAAACCAGCTACGTGTATGTAAATCAATCCATTACGCAAACATTGCAGCAGACTGTCGGCGAGCAGCAGAGCATCGTCCATGACTTACCTTGAGATGCTACAAGCCTAGAGTAACGAAGAATGCAATGTCGAAGGACAAGGATACCCTCCAGGTGCCGGTGCCAGACATCAGCGACGAATCGCGGGACCACAGCTACAGACATAGCTTACAGCCGAAAGGGGTGGCTGAAGGACCGATCTTGAGACACACGCGCTCGCACAACTATGGAGCGAAAAAGAAAAAAGTGAAAGTGCCACCCATTCCTGAAGTGGAAAGTGAAATTAAAGTGGAGGTGATTAACGAACAGGTGAAGGCTGGGAAGAAGGAGAGGAGACATAGGGATAGCAGAGGCTCGCGGAAGAGCAGCCAAGCGAGCAGTAGGTTAGGGATCGACAATGTGGCTTTCGAACTTGAAGACGGGACGAAGATTTCCAGGGGAAATAGTGCCGCGAGCAGTGTGAGGTCGTCGATGAGGGATCCCAGTGTGCAGAGTTTAACGTAAGTAAAGTTGGTGTTAATTTTTCAAATCATCATGTAGTTGACAATTATCTATCACAAGTAACCTCCCAAAAATTTTGTTCCGATACTTTTTCAAATTTTCGGTGCACTTATAATAGTATGTTAGAATTGACGAGAATTGTTTATGCCGGTATACATTTCTACACAGATTTGCAAAAGGATGGTACAAATAGATACACATTTTTAGTAGGCGTTTTTTATTCAACTTACTTTTACACTGGTATGTTATCATTACAACGACAAAGTTAAGTCGACTAACTAATAATAATAATATATTCACTATATTTTAAAGTCCCGCCTCCATAGATGCTGTACTTTGGCGCGTGTTATACAAGTGAATTGTGTATTCAGGTATATTAAAGTGGTGATGGAACAGTCGATTCTTTTGGAAAAAGAATTGAACTTGTCAGTAGAGTCTAAAACTGAAACATCCAAAATATGTTAAAATACAAGCAACACAGCATTTCAAAGTTTATATGATATTAATGTAATTAATCAATCAATAAAATAAATTCCATCACTTATATTGTTTTCGCACCCCGCATAAGTGACTTAAAATATAATATGTTATTAAAACATAAATACTTTTCTATAAACATGTTTTAGGTTTTTTTTTTTCAAATGACGTCATCGTCTTTTTGAAGGGAATGAATACATTTAAAAAAAAAATTGGTCTAAAGAGTTTAGACAGTACTTCCCTCGTTGTCGGAAACTTGACGACTGCATGCCTATTGTGTTTTTTTTCTCATTACATTTTTGTAGTGGGAATTTAAAAAAAAATTGCGATGACGTCATCAACATTTTTGCAAGGACACGTATATCAGTTGGGATAGATGTAGTGTAATACTAAGAATAAAATTATTATATTCTCAAATTTTCGGGAAAATGAATTGGGTCGTTTGAATATTGATTTGTAATAATCAATAAAATAACGAAACAATTTACTCACGTATACCTACGTATCAGAGGCAACTGAAAATCGTGTATGTATAAACATTGTTAATTTAAGATGACAGGCGTAACAGCATACGTGAGAGCCAAACACAGAAACTGTAAACAAAACGACCGTCGGTTTTATTGCTTCGACTTCCGCTTATTATATAAAACATTGGGTTTTATTTTAATTCTTGACGGTGAAATTCACAATTGGTTGATTATAAACATGTCTATTTCACATTCGCGGAATCAAGTGAACGCATAAAACAAATGCAGGTCTGTAATGTTAAAGTCGATGTAAATAAGCGTGCTACCCTTATGTTTCAACCGAGTTTTTCCTTTAACAAATTTTGTGTCTACCAAATTGGGTTGGTTGGGGTGTAATACTAATAATAAGTGTTGCCTTTAATTTAATCAATAAAATAAATTGACTTCATTAATTTTTTTGAACCACCTCTTAAGAAAATCTAAAAAATATGAATGGAATGATAAATCACAAGTACAAACTCATCATATTTTTTGCATTTTAGATAGGATTTATTCAGCAAAATTTAAGGGTGACGTCATCAATTTTTTTAGGAGGGATGAACAAAAACATTTTGAATAAAAGTTTACCATGCTTATAATAACTTTAAAATATTCCCAAGATTTCAAAGCATTCGGTTTTGTAATTCCTGATTAAATCGATAAAATAAATTCACGCCTTCATTAATTTTTTTGAGTCACCCTGCATATGCAAATCCAAAAATATGAATGGAATGATAAATCACAAGTACAGACTCATCATATTTTGTACATTTTAGATACGATTTATTCGGAAAACTTTTGAGCTGACGTCATCAGTTTTTTGTAGAAGATAACCAAATATATTTTGACTAAAAATTTATTATGCTCTTTATAACCTTAAAACATCTGCAAGACTTCAAAGCATTCGGTTTTGTAGTTCCTGATTAAATCAATAAAATAAATTTACGCATTCATTAATTTTTTTTAGTCACTCTGTATATGCAAATCCAAAAACTATGAATGGAGTGATAAATGACAAGTACAGGCTCATCATATTTTGTACATTTTAGATATGATTTATTCGGCAAACTTTCGAGCTGACGTCATCAAGTTTTTGGAGGGGATAAGCAAATATATTTTGACTAAACATTTATTATGCTCTTTATGACCTTAAAACATCTGCAAGATTTCAGAGCATTCGGTTTTGTAGTTCCTGATTAAATCAATAAAATATATTTACGCATTCATTAATTTTTTTGAGTCACCCTGTATATGGAAATCCAAAAAATATGAATGGAGTGATAAATTAATTACAAGTACAGACTCATCATATTTTGTACATTTTAGATATGATTTATTCCACAAACTTTTGAGCTGACGTCATCAAGTTTTTGGAGGGGATAAGCAAATATTTTTTGACTAAAGATTTATGATGCTCTTTATAGCCTTAAAACATCTGCAACATTTCAAAGCATTCTGGTTAGCAGATTAAAAATTAAATTTCAAAATGTTGTTTTATAATTTTGATTTTTTTTCCAAAAATCTGGACGTTTCGGGTGAAAAGTCGATTCAGAGTTGTAAACTACATGTGTAGGACTATGTTATTTTATACAATTGAAAACCCATTTACTATGTACAATTTTGAAGTGACGTCATCGCTTTAGTGGTGGGGATGATTCGACAAATTTTGGTTAGCGTTTTACCATCTACATGATATTCTTAATATAAGTACAAAATTTCACAACAATCGGTCGAGTACTTTCGGAGATTATCTGTCTAATAAAAATCCGTGACAACAGACGGACAGACGGACAAACGGACAGACGGACGGACAGACGGACAGACGGACAGACGGACAGACGGACAGACGGACAGACAGACGGAAATGGGAGACCTATTTCTTCGTCTTCTAGGGGTCATGAAAGATCGAGAAAACGTAAAAGTAGAGAGTCGGCCGACGGACTCGATTACAATACTTCCTTTGCTTACGCTCGGGAAGTAATAATAATAAAACATCAAAGAAGTTGTAAGAATAATCATATAACTTCAGTTTACGATTTCTGTGTATGCATAAATTTAAAAAACTAGTAGGTACCATTAATATTGGTATAACGGGCGACAATTAATATAATAAGTTTTCAAAAAACCAAGGTGGTTCCTGTCAATCTTTGTATGTATGTCTTCTCACTAAGATAATAATAATTATAACTCTAGAGTTTAATTTTGGCACGTGCTGTCTGGATTTTTACAGTTTCGAGCCTGATTTCCTTAATTTCAACAAAAATGCGGCTTAGTAGTAAAAACGTCAAAATGTAAGTGAATAATTAATTCCTAATTTGAAGGAACAAATAATTTTAAGACTCAGACTTGACCTGATCTATTGCCCCAGAAATAGATTAGCAGCTGATAAACAAATTCGAAAAAACACCTACTTAGGAGAGGGGAGTATTCAGTTATGAAAGGCCATAGGAGGCTTGACATCATCGAAGTTTGAATGTTTCAATAATTTGAAACTGTTACCTTTTTACTTTCTGAGTTTAAGCTAAGCTATATATTTAGTTTATCGGATGAATGCCCATTTTTACGTTTTCTCGACGTTTCATGACCGCTAGAGTACGAAAAAAGTAGTCTCGCCTTTCCGTCTGTCTGTCGTCTGTTTGTCTGTTTTGTAACGCTTAACAAAATCCCCCCCCCCCACCAATGAAATGACGTCATCTCCAAAATTTACAACAGTAAATTTTCTTTTATTCCATAAAATAAGATGCTCCTGCACATGTGGTGTATGAATCCGTCTTAAGTTTTCATCCTCGACGTCCAGATGTTTGGAAAAAAAAATCAAAATTGTATAAGAACATTTTGATAATTAACTTTGAAACTGCAAGTAAAACCTTTATATCATACTCATGGTAAATTGTTATTCAAAACTTATTTGTTTATTCCCTTTCAAAGAATTGATGATATCATATCAAAATTTTGCCGGATAAATCGTGTCTGAATTATGCCACATATTATGTATGTGCTCTTCTGGTTTATCAATACACTCATAGTTTTTAGAATTACTTATATAGAGTGACTTAAAAAAATAAGGAATGAGTCAGTTTATTATATTGAGTAAATCAAGAAGAATTGACTGTATTTACGTGAAAATTTGGAAATACAATACTGTTATTTTATTCGCGTCATTACCCTTACTTTAACATTACATACCTATTTTAACTTATAAGGGGTATCATAAAAAAATAAAACTCCCTAAATCAATCTTATAATTTTTCGAAAAATCTGAATTTATTGTACTGTACTTCACAGGCTCTATATTTTTGGTATAATTTGTCGTTCAATTATCGGTTAAATTATTAGAATTAACCTGTTAAATTGTTTCTTGCCCTTTCGGTATTATGTAGTACAGAACTATTGTAATCGAGTCCATCGGGCGACTGTCCATTTTCATGTTTTTTTGACGTTCCATGACTCCTAGAGTACGAAGAAATAGGTTTTCGGTGCGTGTCTTTTTGTCGTTTATCAATTTTTAGTAGACTAGAGGCCCGATTATTATCAAATTTGATATAGTATGTTAGGAAAATCGGGCAGATGGTAAAATGGTAACCAAAATTTGTCTAATCATTCCGACCAACAGTGGAATGACGTCATATCCAAAACTTACAACAGTACATAAATAGAATTTAAATTTTATAAAATCGCATTGTGATTTATGAATCCGTTTTCACACCAGACGTTCAGACTTTGTAAAAAAAAAGCAAAAATGAAATATCCTTCGATCAATTGGTTTTTTATTTAAAGTATATAGGTATAAAGTTTCAAAAAAATGACTTCTTTAATTTGGGGCAGTATCTGTCTAAGAAAATCTCTAATAGAATGGCAAATATAGAACAGGCATCCGGAAGCAAAAAACCGACATTCTTGTATTCTATGAACTCTGAAAAATAAAAAAGCTACACGTATAAAGAGTTTTTGTCTGACGATCTGTAGAGAAAATGAAATGAATTACTTATAATACGTCTTAACGTTAAGAAGAACCA